AAGGGAAAGATAGAGGGATGCTGGGGGGAGTGTCAATGGTTGTCATGGTGCTGCTGTGTGTCAGTAGCATGTAGAATATCATGGCGTCTCACAGGATCACTGCATATTTTCACACCTGCAGGTGGTGGTGTGTGTGTGTGTGTGTGTGTGCATGTCGACATGACTGCGGTGGTGTGTGAGTGAAACGAGTGTGCAATAAGTGTGTGTGATCGAGGTGTTCGCTGGGAGTGTGCGAGGTGTAAATTAGTTGGCAGCCTGTCGGCCCTGTGCGGTGAGGGTGTGTGCAGGGGCGCCACAGGTTTTAGAAGTGGGGGGGACATAACCTGGCGGGGGGTCTGCTCATTTTTACACAATCCAATATGCCTTCTCCATTTAGAGCAAAAAGTAAGCAAAAATGCCCACAGTCATCAAGCTAGGTAAGAGTTCATTATTAAATATGGTTAAGTGATTAATAAGACTCAACTAGATCAAAGGTAATTCAATAATACATATTGTGTTGGATCTTTAACTTTTGATTGTCTTTATTAAGACATCCTCTATATCAAATTTTAGCCAGACCGACCAGCCAGCCCGAGCCGCCTGCACGCCCGACCCCCACCAGTCTAGTCAATAACTAAGCTTTCTCCCAACACAATTTCCTTCCCAGTTCACACCTTTAATTTTTTTAATTCCCAAGGTAAAGGTTTGAAAAAAACACACAAAAAAAACACATACACTTCAAATATACATTAACACACAAACAGCAAGTCATCCATATAATTAATCTCATAGGACTAATAGTACTGTAGAGCTCTTTTTACTTGCACACAATATAGCTGGGTCGCCCCGTCCTGTCCCTAGGGGTCCACCCCCCTGCAGCGCCCCAATGAGGGGCGGCAGGTAGGAGCGTTGGGCCAGTAACCAAAAGGTTGCTGGATCGAATCACCGAGCTGACACAAGGTAAAAATCTGTCATTCTGCCCCTGAGCAAGGCAGTTAACCCACTGTTCCCCGGGCGCCGATGACGTGGATGTCGATTTAAGGCAGCCCCCCGCACCTCTCTGATTCAGAGGGGTTTGGGTTAAATGCGGAAGACACATTTCAGTTGAATGCATTCAGTTGTACAACTGACTAGGAATCCCCCTTTCCCAACACACCCCACTCAGCTTTAGGACCTTAGTGAAACATTCATTATTGGTTTCGGGTGTGTTAGGCCAAGGCCAGAGTGTCAACCCACAGGACGGCAGACCACCAGGCCAGGACTGAGCAGCCCAGCAGCTAGGGATTGCCTAAATAGGCATCTCCCCTGACGTGGGCATGTTTTCAATAGACTCCTTTAGTCATACTGTATTCCATGTAAGGCATCCAGACCTTATGAAAGTTGCAGAGTATACCCTTAATCTTGTAATAAATCAAATCTAGTGATACATAACTTGACATTGTGGGAGGATAACCAACCTTCCAGTTAATGGCAATGCATTTCTTAGCCGCTATAAATGCTTGGTTACACAGTTTCTTCAGATAACAGTCTGCAGTATCAACATTTCCAAGCAAGCAAAAACAGGGAGAAGGGAGAATCTTCACAAGACCATAACATAAGCCTTCACAAGACCATAACATATGCAAATATGTCCCGTTTTGGAGAATAATAATTACATTTCTGAGTGCATGTAATTCAGTTTCACTGGCATATAGTACATATAGTACTTTCTATGGATGGCCTTACACTGCAGTAATTTATTTCTGAGGTTATATGAACATGACTGGGCATTCAAACATGTCTGTATCCATTCATCATCATCAATAGCTTCTACCAGGTCTTCCTCACATTTCTGTTTGACATGTTTTGTGTCATCGGGAAAAGCCTCTATCAACCCTTGACACAGTTTGGAAATCAACTTTGGAGGTTTGTCAGACTGCCTTAAAATAGCATCTGTCCAGTGTTTGCTGCACAGAGAGAATAAAGTGTATCTGCAAAAATTCCCCTCACCTCCGTCCCAGACTGGTCTTCCCTGGCTGCCTGACCCTGCTGAGACCCCTGTCGCCATCTGATCCTCCTAAAATGAGGCATGACAAAGAATTACCTTTGTGTACATTTATACATTATATTTTTGTTGTCCCACATATTATTTGGAAACAGTCCTCTTTCTGCTTTGTATGTGTTAGCCGACCTATTGTATTAAAATCACATATTTTTCGCATTATTCACACACGTAGAATTCGCGGCTTCATCTTAAGTAGCCTCTCCTCTCCTAGTTGGGGGTGAGAGTTCAAGTACGCCTAGTATGTGTGGTCTCATTGAAATGGAGTAGGCAGCCTACATGGGTGGAGAATCAGGTGGCAGTTAACTTGAATATTAACTTAAATAGGATTAGACTGTAGTTTTACTACAGTGTCTGTAAATAAATATTGATAGTGGAAGGAGCTCAACCAACGTGTGTCTAAGTGCACTCAAAAAATGTAATCATTAAAAAGGAAAACATACAACGAGCACATAGGTTAGGCTTCTATGGTGAGCGAGTGTTGCACCTTTTTCATTTTCAATAAATATTAATTACCCATTTATTTGTCTCTGCCTGCAAATCGTCCTCCTAAAGGGTAGGGTTTTGCAAAATGTAGCAAGTGTCGCGGTCATCATTCTTGCTGCTTCTAGTTCAGTAGCCATACTTGCGAGATCAGGTACACGTGTGGTTCCAATTAAATAGAGTAGGCTATAGCCTATGGATGGGTGGGGATGCGCTGGACAGTTATCTTTCCAAGGAAATGGACTTCCTAAATAGGCCTTAGGCTATAGTTTACTACATTGCCTAGAAATAGGCCTAAATATTGATCACCCATATTTCTCAGTCTGAAAATCTTCCCACTCCTTAAAGGTTTGCTATAAAAATAGCTAAAGGGAAAGTGCAAGTCTCTCCAACTCTGTCTGCTCTCTTCAAACTACATCTAGCGTATTGGCTGATATAGCCCAGTAATACAATATAAGGGCCATGTGAGAATCTCTGGTAATTTAACCTATTTCGTTTTATCCATTTGATATTCCCTATAGGGCGCAAAATGGCTGGCAAGTGAGCTGCGTCACATACGCCTAAAATAACATGGTGGGACTGCGGTTGGGTTTGGGACCAGTTCTTGCGGTAGCAGGTGGGAGTCAGACAGAAAGCCAGCGGGTGGGAGCGGGATGAAGATATCGGTCCAGCGCAGACCTCTACTGTGCATCATGATAGTGAAGCCTGTAACGTTAGGGCTGTTTATTACTGTGTCAGTGTGAAAAGTAGGGAATTAGCTATGGAAACTGACAGAACAATAACGTTAAATTGCCATAATGACTAATAAAACTAACATTGCACTGGAAAAAAAACGTCAGGATATCAATCTTCAATCGTTTGGCTGATGGTTTCATCGTTTGATTCAGGTCTAGTGTGATTGAGGCAAAAATAATAGCTAATGTAAGCAAACTTTTGGCCAGCGCTCTCTCTAACGGTACATCAACTGGCGAAAGCTAGCCAAGATCATTTACTTCTGAAACAGGACAAAACAAAGGCTACAAAACATTTCCGTACAAACAACAGCTATGAGATAGTAGGAATAGCCACCTCATATCACTGTCTGACAGATAACTAAAGGCTAGAGCTGACCTGGCTGTGGTAACTACTAGCTAGCATAGCTTATTCATTCACCTCAGTCGAGAGGAGATGAAACATTAGCTAACGTTACATATCAGTTACAATACTAGCTCAGCACTGCGAATAACCACTAGTTTAGTTTTTATCTGTTAAGTTAAACAGCAGTTACCTTGCCAGCTACATCAGTCAACTAAAGAGTAGCCAGTCTGCTCTGTGGTGTCCGTGCGGTCCTAATTCCCGGCTGAACACTCCAATCAGCCTACCCGACCGCTCAGAGGCGTCCGCATGGTCCTAAAGCACTCCGTAGCCTGCATTTTGTATCACATTGCAATAATTAAACTGGGGGGGACAAAAGTGCAAAAAACAGCCATGACTCCCCCCCCCCCAGTCCCCAGTGAAAGTTGTTCCCCTGCGTGTGTGTACGTGTGTCTACGTATACGTGTGTAACAAGGTGTAAATTGAGTTCTGAGAGGTTTAGGCCATGGATTGGGTAGAATCTCTCAGTAGGAAGACAGAAAACCAAGTGTCTGCTAAATTTGAATCTCTCTTCTGTCTTAAGCACTTTGTTTTTATTTTATTTTCATTGTGGTAGAACCATCCTTTCACCATCCTTTCCCCAGACAGGGGCTGGGAATTAAAGATACATTTTCTCTCACTCTACCTTTCTCTCTCTTTCTCTCTCTCGCTCTCTTTCATAAGCAGTGCCCTAGGTTTGGGACCAGAGCAACCCAAATACTCATCTCTCATCCTCTAATTTCTTGCCCTTCTGTAACGCTCATCCATCCCTTCTCTCGCTCCTCAGAAACACAAAGAGAGGGAGAGACACAAACCCAAACACAAGAAGACTCTCGAGCTCTCCCCCACCCGTCGCTCCAACTCTCATGGTCACCTCAGACAAGGTGAGCTCACTCCTCCTTTCCGCCCTGCTTCTCTCCCTCTTTTTTTCTCTCTCTGTCTCTCCGTCTCACTCTGTGGGTTTAATGTGAGGTGAACATTGACTAGCTCTGTTAGGCATTAGGGCTGGACTGACCTCTAATGCTCCTCTCTCCTCTCTCTCTACTCCTCCTCTCCTTTCCTCTCAACTCCTCTCTACTCCTCCTCTCCTTTCCTCTCAACTCCTCTCTACTCCTCCTCTCCTTTCCTCTCAACTCCTCTCTACTCCTCCTCTCCACTCCTCCTTTCCTCTCCACTCCTCTCTTCTCCATTCCTCCTTTCCTTTCCTCTCTTCTCCACTCCTCTCTTATCCTTTCCTCTCCACTCCTCTCTCCTCCTCTCCTCATCCCTCTCTCAGAGCTACAACAGCAGCAGTGGTGGTGGAGGAGGAGTCTCCTCTTTGCCCGCCTCCTCTCAGAAGCGATTGGACGACAGCGCCGCCCGTTTCACCACCGCCAACTTCCAGGAAGTGCCTGTGCACTCCGGGGGTGCTAAGGAAGCCCCCCTCATGGGGTCAGAGGGCAAACAAGGGTCGGAGGTCAAACAGGGCAAGAAGAGCATTGGCCATGGGATTGGTGTTCAGCGGGGACGCAAGTCCCTCACACCTGGGAAGCCCCTCCCCTCTGCTGCAGTCTCTACTGCAGCCTCCTCCACTGGAACCTTTCATCAAGGTGAGATTGGTGCACTGTTTACGTCCCTACGTGTGTGTGTGTGTGTGTGTGTGTGTGTGTGTGTGTGTGTGTGTGTGTGTGTGTGTGTGTGTGTGTGTGTGTGTGTGTGTGTGTGTGTGTGTGTGTGTGTGTGTGTGTGTGTGTGTCATTCGAGAATGTCTGTGTGTGACAGTTGTTGGATGTTGTCCAGAGTGCCAGTGGTAGCGTATGCCCAAGATAATAGCGTTGTCTCCCTGGCTAGATCCTGGTTCCTGTAATCTGGGAATTCTGCCACAGACACTAGAGAGAGATGCTCAGACGCCATCAGTCTCCCTTGACCTCTGACCCCTTATGGCAGCATGTGTGTGTGTTTCAGCCTCGAGGGGTCAAGTCTGGAGGTCTGACGTGTTGTAAGTTGCATCTAGTGGGGAAATGATCTCACAGTCCAACAAGAGATTGAGGAACAAGTGGATGACTATTTAAAGGGAAAATAAGTACGTTATCTGTTACTGGTGCTTCTATGTTTCTGGCAGTGCCAGAGGGTGGGTGTGTATTACGTCTGCAAACAACTTCTCCTCTCTCTCCCAGCCCTCCTGCTGCCAAATAAGACGTCCTCCACCATGACTCCTCCCATCTCTGACTTCCTGGGCTTCTCTGATCCGTCGCTACGCTCCGCAGGCGGGGACTCTTTCTCCCCGCCCTCGTTCAGCCGTTGCCTAGTGAAGCCCAGTGAGGTCACGGCCTCCGAGGGCATGGCATCACTCAGCACCTTCGGTTCGATGACGTCGCTTCCTGCCAGCAGTGGCGTAGCCGGCAGTAAACTGTACGAGAACTCTCACAGCGAGCCAACGGGGAACGTTGCCGTCACGGCCGGCTACAAACGCCCCTCATCATCCTCCTCTTCCTCTGCTGCCTCCTCCTCCTCTGGGCCAGGGATGGGGGGAGAAGGAGGAGAAGAAGGCGTAAAGGGGAAGAAGAAGAGAGGAAACTGGAGGAACCGATATGGACCCTGCTTCAATGCTCCTGACGGCAAGGCTACAGACGGACCTGAGCACCATATAGCACCGCTACCTCTCCCCTCATCCTCCTCTCCTTCCCCCTCCTCTACCAGCGCTCTGCCAGGCCGGCCTGGAGGTGGAGGAGAGAGGGGAGGAGAGAGACTAGGTCTGCTGGGTGTTGGCGTCAGCAGTGGGATCCAGAAGTCTCCTTCCTTACCGAGGAACGGCAGTGTGCAGAGTCATGGAGTCACCTCTACTCCCTCTGGGACCGGTAGGATCCACACACACGCACACAAACAACCACTTTCCATCAGAGCATGTTTTGTGTCTGTAGCCGTGTGATGCTGGGGTGGAGACTGATGACTGGCCATAAAGAAGTAGTGGGCTAAATAGGAGAGAGCTGCCTAAAACAGCCCAGGAAAGGAAAGACGGACAGGAGGAGAGGAAGTCACTGGAGAGTATTGAGCTGCAGCCCTGAAGACCTGGGGAGGTGGGGTTTAAAAGGGGAGGGAGGGAGGAGGAGAGGATAGATGGAAGGAAGAGTGGAGGGGAGGAGGGTTGAACAGGCAATTAGAAGCTGTTGTAGTAGACTCTCCCTGTTGGAGAGGGGAGGGTAAGAGTGCTGTGAGCCCTGCTGGACAACATTACTCTGTGTGTGTGTGTGTGTGTGTGTGTGTGTGTGTGTGTGCGTCTGAAGTGCTCTCTGTCTCGTTTCATCTTGTGTTCTGTTTCTTGGCAACCGCGTCAATGCTTTGGAGTTCCCTTCTGCTGCAGGAAATGACTATTTGTATCCTTTCTTTCTCCCTCTCTATTCCTCACTATCTTTGTTCCCCTCATTCTCTCTCTCTCTCCTTCTTTACTCTCTCTACTCACCTCCCTCTTATCCATGCCTCTCTCTTTCCTCTCCCCTGTTCTTTAGGCTGTCTCCATGTTTCTCCTCCCTTCCTCCCCCCTCACCTGTATGTGTGTGTGTGTGTGTGTACAGAGCCTTCAGAAAGTATTCACACCCCTCAAAATGGATTCAATTGAGTTTATTTCTCACCCACCTACAAACAAAACCCAATAATGACAAAGTGAAAAGATGTTTTTAGATTTTTTTGTTTTGTATTATTGAAAATGAAATACAAAAATATCTAATTTGCATAAGTATTCACACCCCTGAGTCAATACATGTTAGAATCACCTTTGGCGGCGATTACAGCTGTGAGTCTTTCTGGGTAAGTCTCTAAGTGTTTTGCACACCTGGATTGTATAATATTTGCCCATTTTTCTTTTCAGAAATGTTCAAGACTATCAAATTGATTGTTGATCATTGCTAGACAACCATTTTCAAGTCTCACCATCCATTTTCAAGCAGATTTAAGTCAAAACTGTAACTCGGCCACTCAGGAACATTCACTGTCTTGGTAAGCAACTCCAGTGTAGATTTGGCCTTGTGTTTTAGGTTATTGTCCTGCTGAAAGTTGAATTCATCTCCCAGTGTCTGTTGGAAAGCAGACTGAACCAGATTTTCCTCTGCTTAGCTCCATTCTAGGGTTTTTTTATCCTGAAAAACTTCCCAGTCCTTAACGATTACAAGCATACCCATAACATGATGCAACCACCACTATGCTTGAAAATATGAAGGGTGGTACTCAGTAATGTGTTGTATTGGATTTGCCCCAAACATAACACTTTGTATTCAGGGCATATATTTTTATTCTGTACAGGCTTCCTTCTTTTCACTCTGTCAATTAGGTTAGTATTGTGGAGGCAGGTAGCTTAGGGGTTAAGAGCGTTGTGCCAGTAACTGAAAGGTCGCTGGTTCTAATCCCCGAGCCGACTAGGTGAAAAATCTGTCGATGTGCCCTTGAGCAAGGCACTTAACCCTAATTGCTCCTGTATGTCGCTCTGGAGAAGAGCGTCTGCTAAATGACTCAAATGTAAATGTAACTACAATGTTGTTGATCCATCCTCAGTTTTCTCCTGTCACAGCCATTAAACTCTGTAACTGTTTTAAAGTCACCATTGGCCTCATGGTGAAATCCCTGAGCGGTTTCCTTCCTCTCCGGAAACTGAGTTAGGAAGGACGCCTGTATCTTTGTAGTGACTGGGTGTATTGATACACCATCCAAAGTGTAATTAATAACTTCACCATGCTCAAAGGGTTATTCAATGTCAGCTTTTTTTTTATTTTGACCCATCTACCAATAGGTGCCCTTCTTTGCAAGGCATTGGAAAACCTCCCTTTGACATTATGGGGTATTGTGTGTAGGCCTGTGACCAATAATTTTTTTTAAATCAATTTTAATTTCAAGCTGTAACCCAACAAAATGTGGAAAAAGTCAAAGGGTGTGAATACTTTCTGAAGGCACTGCGTGTGTGTGTGTGTGTGTGTGTGTGTGTGAGTGAATGATGGGGGCGTGTACAATGTTTATGTGTGTGTATGTGTCTACTGTAAATATTTAACTGGAGGTTAATGTGGGGCAGTAATGGGGAGGTTCTTGTCGTTTGTTTCATCCCTCCATCCTGTCTCCTGCCGTTCCCGTTGACAGGATAGATAGTTCATCTGATAGATGGTTGTGTGTGTTTTTGTGATGGTTGGGGGCTAAATGGGGGTTAGATTTGGACTGGGTTAATGTTTGATAGTACGGGCTGTGTCTGTGGGTGGGGGGTGTTAATCAGTGCTGGTTAATGTCATTGGGAGGGCAGCTTGGTTTAAAGTGGGCTTCATGCCGTCTGATATGATGTTGGCTGCTCTTCAGTGTAGTATTCTCCGCTGGTTTACCCTCTCTAAACCTACTACATCTCTCCTGGTGAGCCCCCCCCCCCCCCCCTTAGACGTGGTTGATCCCTGGCCTGGCCTGGGGGGGGGTGAGGGGGCTCCAGGGGGTGAGGAAGGGTGATGTTGTTAAGTCCTTATTGATCACTTTTGATTGATTCCCGATTGGACAGTCCTACCTGAGCTAATGGGACTGCCCCCCCCCCCCCCCCCCCCACACACACACACACACATCCCCAGCCATCCTTTCTTATGTGTTGTTGATGATAAACTAGAGGCCATAAAAGACATGTAACCCCACCATTCATCTATGGAAGCTAGCCTTGGGAAATGGATATATGTAGGCTAGGTGTACCAATAAGTAGGGGACAGGTAGCAATGTGCCAATACATTTTGTCTTTTCAATTACAAGACTGGCTTGTAAAAATGTTATATTTGTATAGAATTAACTGCAGATTGCCCCTTTATAACCTTTTCGACGTTTAGTCCCCTTTCTGTGTACGGCGCGCTCTGTGAACTGTGCAACATCAATTGCCTTACGCTCCGTAAAAGCGCTGGTAGTCCCGATTTCATATGCGCAATTGCAAGCACAGCTGTGTGTTTCACAGACACAGGAAGTCAGTTATTTGCATAGGGAGCAACACGTCACATTTTCTGGCCTATCCAGACAAAGGAAGGATTTCCTGTGCCTGTGAAACTCACAAGTGTGCTTGCAATAGCGCTTATGAATCGGGAGAATCTAGCGGATGCAACAATAGTAGTTTCATTTCGCTGGGATCTCAAATGGATTTATAGCTCTAAACAGGGAAAAAATATATATATATTTTTTAATAATTTTAATAAAGACCACTTTCTCTTGGTCACAGACGGATGAAATCACTTTGTGCTTAAAGTTGAAGTTGTAACGAGTCTGCTCACATTTGAATGGTGTCTCGGCACCGCTCAGAGGACATTTGGCAGAAAGGTCGATGTCGTCAGTTATATGAAATGGTGCCAATATATTATTGTCACTAAGGATGATCATACAGTATTTATTTTACAGTTATAAGAAAGTTGAAATCTTATAGTAAGTCGTTTATCCTTTTATTGTTACTATATTTAGAAAGCATTTCAGTCATTTCAAGCCCTATTGGCCCACTTTTGTTGAATAGGGAAAAACTTAGATGCATTTTCATATTTTTATAATATTTGTACTATGTACTTTAGCTTGTGTCGTCAAATGTGACTACACCTCAGCATTTTATAGCTATTTTTACCCGAAATGTGAATTCCAGACCTTTCTAAAACTATGCAGCATTACCAGTTATTGTTTATGGCCACCTCATGAAAAGAATTACTTTTGGGTATGTCTATTTACACGGAGATCTACATTTTGCCCTGTCATTCAAGGTAGCATCAAATAAAGTAGCTTCATCTAGTCAGTTGTCTTATTTGAACATTTATATCTGGTAAGGAATTCTGTTATTGAATGGTATTAGACTATTTGATATTAGCCTATCAGTATATACATTGGGGAAGTTAGGAGCTGAGTTGTATTGTGTAGATGATGGTATGATTTGAGGAGTAGTCTGGGAGTTTATGCAGTATGTGATCTCTGTTTCTCCCCCCCCCCCCTCTCTCTCAGGCACAAAGCACTCTTGTTCCTCTAGTGAATGTGTGCTGCCCACAGCCATTCAGCCTTTTGTGGGGTGAGGGGGGCCTCTCTCTCCCTCTCTCTCTCTCTCTCCTTCCCCCCTTCACCCCCCTCCCAGGGGTCACTAAGGGGCAGGGGCAGAGTTTGTCCCGTGTGTGTGCGTGTGTGTGTGTGCGTGTGTGTGTGTGCGTGTGCGTGTGTGCGTGTGCGTGTGTGTGTGTGTGCGTGTGTGTGTGTGTGTGTGTGTGTGTATAAAATCAATGAAATAGCAGCAGCAACAACAAACAGAGATAGAGGGCATGTGATGGGGAGTCACATGAATATGTATGGGGCCTCCCATGTCTTCAACCCTGTATGAAATGCTGTGTGTTGTGATAGAACAATGTGTGAGTCATCAGATTTCCCCCTGTTATTCTGGGTCAGCTGCAGGACGGGCCTCCACATACTGTGTGTGTGTATTTAATATGTGGGTGTTAGTGTGTTTAATATGTGGGTGTGTGTGTGTTTAATGTGTGTGGGTGTGTTTTAATATGTGGGTGTGTGTGTGTGTTTAATATGTGGGTGTGTGTGTGTGTTTTAATGTGTGTGTGTGTTTAATATGTGTGTGTGTGTGTGTGTGTGTGTGTGTGTGTGTGTGTGTGTTTAATATGTGGATGTGTGTGTGTGTGTGTGTTTAATATGTGGTTGTGCGTGTGTTTTAATATGTGTGTGTGTTTAATATGTGGGTGTGTGTTTTAATATGTGTGTGTGTGTACAGGCTGAATGCCTGTGAAAGAATGTTTCTTGTAGCTATGATTTGATTTGATCCAGCCCTCCTTCATGGCATCAATCAGGACTGTACTGCAGACGTATGAACACCAGACAATGAGGACTTTATTTCCATGATTAGGAAAATGGATCACAGTGATGATGATGATGATGATGATGATGATGATGATGTCGTCTCTCGTTGTAGGTGCATTCTCCAGTGGTGACGTGTCATCAGGGGCGGGACCTGTTGCTATGGGTGGAGCTAACTCTGAGTTGCAACAGCCGGCACCCTCCCTGGCTCCTCCCACTCCCTTCACTGCCTCAGCTCCCCTGACCAGCACAGCCTCCTCCCATGTGAGCAGACACACACACACACACCACACACACACACACACACACACACACAGACTAGACCTGTACTGAACAGTCAGATCAACATTAATGTCAGAGACATACAAGTTAAATAAAGTTTTAAAAATTATGAGGGAGAAGTTTCGTATGGGCTCTTGTTTCATATCGTTCCATCTAACATCACGATCCCCCCCCCCCCCCATCTCTGACCCCTGACCTCCTAGCCTGTCCTCTTTCCAAATGAGCAGGGGCTCCTTTTCCCTCCTCTTATTTTTCTCTCTTTCTGCCCAGTTGTCCCCCCCTCTACTCCTCCTCCCCTCGCTCTGCTTTCCTGTGATCTGACAGGCACCATAGAGGAGTAGAGGGGGGGTCCAATTCCACCAGTCACCCTTCCGCTCCCACCACACACACACTCCCCTCCCCCTCCCATACATAGCTGAGTGGAGAGGAGGCCCAGGGAAGCAGGATATCATGGCTATTTACTACATATAGAGGACATGAAGCTACTCCAAGCACAGTGTGTGTATGTGTTGCAAATTGGAATAAGGAAGTGTCTCCCGAAGTTACCAACTCCATCCAGTCATCCTCCATGTATTGTAACAGAGTCTCTCTCTCTCTCTCCCTGTAGGTGAGTGGGTCACCAGGTCCAGTGTTCAACATGGCTCCCTCCCACATGTTTGGAAACCGACTCAACCCCAACTCTGCCATGGCTGCTCTCATCGCACAGTCTGAGGCTTCCCCTGCAGGTTGGCACCAACGTGTGTGTGTGTGTGTGTGATCATGGATAGGTCATGCCCCACGGTCTACAGAGGGTTCAGAGGTCACCACACCCACTGACAGACTCCTCCCACTGACACACTGCTTAGGTTACGTCGCGCACACACTCACGCATGCATACAGACACACACACACACACCCACACACCACACTCACACACACACACACACACACACACACACACACTCACGCATGCATACAGACATACACACAACACACACACACACACAACACACACACACACACTCACACACACACTCACACACACACACACACACACATACACACACACACAACACACACACACACACACACACAACACTCACACACACACACACACACACACACACACACACACACACACTCACGCATGCATACAGACATACACACACACACACACTCACGCATGCATACAGACATACACACAACACACACACACACACACACACACACAACACACTCACACACACACTCACACACACACCACACACACACACTCACGCATGCATACAGACATACACACAACACACACACACTCACACTCACGCATGCATACAGACATACACACAACACACACACACACACACACTCACGCATGCATACAGACATACACACACACACATACACACAACACACACACACACACACACACACACACACACACACACTCACACCTACAGCAGTGACGGGTTAAAGAGAGGGAAGTTGATCAAAGTTGAGTGGGTGGGATATGGTGACTGGTGTGCTTGTGGAGGTAGGGCGAGTAAGGCTGTGCAATATGGGCAAAATATCATATCACAATATTTTTCACGTTTTTGACGGTATTTTATGTTTTTGAATATTAAATGTTCTAAATATGCTTTCTGAGTATCTCATGACCCTAGGGTGGCAACACATAAATGATAAGTGATTCCAAACAAAAATACTTTTCAGCATTTTCATCACTTTCTGCATTTCCTTTTATTATCATTTCCACACTGTGCCAGGCAGCATTATATGGGTAAAAAATCTAGGCCTAGTTAATTAATGGACTGTTGGAATCATGGAAATATAATGATTATTTTAATTCTATAGTTGGAATATAGTGGGCTGTACCTTGAATACATTGTTGTTTGACATGACAACAAATTAATAAGCCAGTGAGGAATTATTGACAGGGTAGGAACCAAAGTGTTTGTCAGTGTTTCCAGGTTACCCTAATTAGATGTTACATTACATATTTTCTTACTTCATGTAGCTAGCTAGCTGGCACACGTATTAATGCTTTGCCTATTCCTCTCTGGTAAGATACCATTGCACGAACATGCTTATCTAGGCCTACACCAACAAGCTAACTAGCGATTAGCATTAGCGGCTAACACAAATTATTTTAGCAACACCTTGCTAAGAAAAGACAAACTTGCAGACAGTAAGATACAGACCTGAGCCCTGACAGTAAATCTCAGTAAGACAAAAATATTGGTGTTCCAAAAAAGGACCAGTTGCCAGGACCACAAATACTAATTCCATCTAGACACTGTTGCCCTACAGCACATACAAAACTATACATACCTTGCCCTAAACATCAGCGCCACAGGTAACTTCCACAAAGCTGTAAACGATCTGAGAGACATGGCAAAAATGGGCCTTCTATGCCATCAAAAGTAACACAAAATTTGACATTGCAATTAGGATCTGGCAAAAAAATAGGTCTGGGGTCCGCTCACCAACCAAGAATTCACAAAAGGGGATAAACACCAAATTTAGACTCTGCATGCAGAATTCTGCAAAAATATCCTCTGTGTACAATGTAAAACACCAAATAATGTATGCAAGAGCATTCTGCTCGAATTAGGCTGATACCCGCTAATTATCCAAAGCCAGAAAAGAGCCGTTCAATTCTACAACCACCTAAAAGGAAGCGAATCCCAAATCTTCCATAACAAAGCCATCACCTACAGAGAGATGAACCTGGAGAATAGTCCCCTAAGCATGCTGGTCCTGGGGCTCTGTTCACAAACAAAAACAGACCTCACAGAGCCCCAGGACAGCAACACAATTAGACCCAACCAAATCATGAGAAAACAAAAAGATAATTACTTGACACATTGTAAAGAATTTACAAATAACAGAAAAAAATATAATGTTATTTGGCCCTAAATAGAGAGTACACAGTGGTAGAATACCTGACCACTGAGACTGACCCAAAATTAAGGAAAGCTTTGACTATGTACAGACTCAGTGAGCATAGCCTTGCTATTGAGAAAGGCCGCCGTAGGCAGACCTGGCTCTCAACAGAAGACAGGCTATGTGCACACTGCCCACAAAATGAGGTGGAAACTGAGCTGCACTTCCTAACTTCCTGCCAAATGTATGACCATATTAGAGACACATATTTCCCTCAGATTACACAGACCCACAAAGAATGTGAAAACAAATCCAATTTTGATAAACTCCCATATCTATTGGGTGAAATAACACAGTGTGCCATCACAGCAGCAATATTTGTGACCTGTTGCCACAAGAAAAGGGCAACCAGTGAAAAACAAACACCATTGTAAATACAACCCATTTATGTTTATTTATTTTCCCTTTTGTACTTTAACTATTTGCACATTGTTACAACACTGTATATATACATAATATGACATTTGAAATGTCTTTATTCTTTTGGAACTTCTGAGTGTAATGTTTACTGTTAATATTTATTGTTGATTTCACTTTTGTTTATCCATTTCACTTGCTTTGGCAACGTAAACATACAGTGGGGAAAACAAGTATTTAGTCAGCCACCAATTGTGCAAGTTCTCCCACTTAAAAAGATGAGAGAGGCCTGTAATTTTCATCATAGGTACACGTCAACTATGACAGACATATTGAGAAAAAAAAATCCAGAAAATCACATTGTAGGATTTTTAATGAATTTATTTGCTAATTATGGTGGAAAATAAGTATTTGGTCAATAACAAAAGTTTCTCAATACTTTGTTATATACCTTTTGTTGGCAATGACACAGGTCAAACGTTTTCTGTAAGTCTTCACAAGGTTTTCACACACTGTTGCTGGTATTTTGGCCCATTCCTCCATGCAGATCTCCTCTAGAGCAGTGATGTTTTGGGGCTGTCGCTGGGCAACACGGACTTTCAACTCCCTCCAAATATTTTCTATGGGGTTGAGATCTGGAGACTGGCTAGGCCACTCCAGGACCTTGAAATGCTTCTTACGAAGCCACTCCTTCGTTGCCCGGGCGGTGTGTTTGGGATCATTGTCATGCTGAAAGACCCAGCCACGTTTCATCTTCAATGCCCTTGCTGATGGAAGGAGGTTTTCACTCAAAATCTCACGATACTTGGCCCCATTCATTCTTTCCTTTACACGGATCAGTCGTCCTGGTCCCTTTGCAGAAAAACAGCCCCAAAGCATGATGTTTCCACCCCCATGCTTCACAGTAGGTATGGTGTTCTTTGGATGCAACTCAGCATTCTTTGTCCTCCAAACACGACGAGTTGAGTTTTTACCAAAAAGTTCTATTTTGGTTTCATCTGACCATATGACATTCTCCCAATCCTCTTTTGGATCATCCAAATGCACTCTAGCAAACTTCAGACGGGCCTGGACATGTACTGGCTTAAGCAGGGGGACACGTCTGGCACTGCAGGATTTGAGTCCCTGGCGGCGTAGTGTGTTACTGATGGTAGGCTTTGTTACTTTGGTCCCAGCTCTCTGCAGGTCATTCACTAGGTCCCCCCGTGTGGTTCTGGGATTTTTGCTCACCGTTCTTGTGATCATTTTGACCCCACAGGGTGAGATCTTGCGTGGAGCCCCAGATCGAGGGAGATTATCAGTGGTCTTGTATGTCTTCCATTTCCTAATAATTGCTCCCACAGTTGATTTCTTCAAACCAAGCTGCTTACCTATTGCAGATTCAGTCTTCCCAGCCTAGTGCAGGTCTACAATTTTGTTTCTGGTGTCCTTTGACAGCTCTTTGGTCTTGGCCATAGTGGAGTTTGGAGTGTGACTGTTTGAGGTTGTGGACAGGTGTCTTTTATACTGATAACAAGTTCAAACAGGTGCCATTAATACAGGTAACTAGTGGAGGACAGAGGAGCCTCTTAAAGAAGAAGTTACAGGTCTGTGAGAGCCAGAAATCTTGCTTGTTTGTAGGTGACCAAATACTTATTTTCCACCATAATTTGCAAATAAATTCATAAAAAATCCTATAATGTGATTTTCTGGAATTCTTTTTCTCAATTTGTCTGTCATAGTTGACGTGTACCTATGATGAAAATTACAGGCCTCTCTCATCTTTTTAAGTGGGAGAACTTGCACAATTGGTGGCTGACTAAATACTTTTTTCCCCCACTGTATGTTACCCATGCCAATAAAGCCCCTTGAATTGAATTGGATTTAATTGAATTACAGTGCATTCGAAAAGTATTCGGACCCCTTGACTTTTTCCACATTTTGTTACATTACAGCCTTATTCTAAAATTGATTAAATAAATGTTTTTCCTCATCAATCTACACACAATACCCCATAATGACGAAGCGAAAACAGGTATTTTGAAATGTTTGCAAATGTATTAAAAATAGAAAACAGAAACCTTATTTACGTAAGTATTGCTATGAGCTCAGGTGCATCCTGTTTCCATTGATCATTTTTACATTTACGTCATTTAGCAGATGCTCTTATCCAGAGCGACTTACATCCTTGAGATGTTTCTACAACTTGATTGGTGTCCACCTGTGGTAAATTAAATTGATTGAACATGATTTGGAAAGGCACATACCTGTCTATATAAGGTCCCACAGTTGACAGTGCATGTCAGAGCAAAAACCAAGCCATGAGGTTTAAGGAATTGTCCGTAGAGCTCAGAGACAGGACTGTGTCAAGGCACAGATCTGGGGAAGGGTACCAAAACATTTCTGAAGCATTGAAGGTCCCCAAGAACACAGTGATCTCCATCATTCTTAAATGGAAGAAGTTTGGATCCACCAAGACTCTTCCTAGAGCTGGCCGCCCAGCCAAACTGAGCAATCGGGGGAGAAGGGCCTTGGTCAGGGAGGTGACCAAGAACCCGATGGTCACACTGACAGAGCTCCAGAGTTCCTCTGTGGAGATGGGAGAATCTTCCAGAAGGACAACCATCTCTGCAGCACTCCACCAATCAGGCCTTTATGGTAGAGTGGCCAGACGGAAGCCACTCCTCAGTAAAAGGCATATGACAGCCCACTTGGAGTTTGCCAAAAATGCACCTAAAGGACTCTCAGACCATGAGAAACAAGATTTTCTGGTCTGATGAAACCAAGATTGAACTCTTTGGCCTGAATGCCAAGCGTCACGTCTGGAGGAAAACTGGCATCATCCCTACGGTGAAGCATGGTGGTGGCAGCATCATGCTGTGGGGATGTTTTTCAGGGGCACGGACCGGGAGACTAGTCAGGATCGAGGGAAAGATGAACGGAGCAAAGTACAGAGAGATCCTTGAAGAAAACCTGCTCCAGAGCGCTCAGGACCTCAGACTGGGGCGAAGGTTCACCTTCCAACAGGACAACAACCCTAAGCACACAGCCAAGACAACGCAGGAGTGGCTTCGGGACAAGTCTCTGAATGTCCTTGAGTGGTCCAGCCAGAGCCCGGACTTGAACCCGATCTAACATCTCTGGAGAGACCTGAAAATAGCTGTGCAGCGACGCTCCCCATCCAACCTGACAGAGCATGAGAGGATCTGCAGAGAAGAATGGGAGAAACTCCCCAAATACTGGTGTGCCAAGCTTGTAGCGTCATACCCAAGAAGACTCGAGGCTGTAATCGCTGCCAAAGGTGCTTCAACAAAGTACTGAGTAAAGGGTCTGAATACTTATGTAAATGTAATATTTCCGTTATTTATTTGTAATACAATTGCAAAAATTTCTAAAAACCTGTTTTTGCTTTGTCAATATGGGGTATTGTGTGTCGATTGATGAGTTTATTTTAATTTTATCCATTTTAAAATAAGGCTGTAATGTAACAATGTGGAAAAAGTCAAGGGGTCTGAATACTTTCCGAACGCACTTTACACAAACTAATAGTGTATAGAACGCTTGTGGAAAGCATCATGTCACCAACATTGTTGCATCCATCTGACCAAGAAAGTGCTCCTGACTCCGCGGTGGAGCAACTGCTCTCTCCTTGAGTGACAGGGGGCGGGGCTTGGTGTGGTTAGCGGCATGCAGCAGGAGGAGATGGAGGGGCGATGACTCAAGTAGAAAACAGAGTAAACTATCAAAACGGACATTATACGCGTCGGAGTTGCGTATCACATAAAAAAAAAGAAAAAAGATAGAAATACTGTTATAGAAGGTAAAGTACAAACTCAAACCGGTCTGTGCATCAATACCGGTATATAGTCAAATACGGTATACCGCTCAGCCCTAAGGGGGAGGAGAGTGAACAGGGGTAAGTAAAGTGTTTCCTGGTGTTTCAGTATCGCCTGCAGCCATTGGTCCTCCCTGACCTGTAGGGGTTAACTATAATGTATACTGTTGTGCGCGTGCGCTGTGTGTGATTCATTACTCAGAGGAAAATGAAAAGAAACGTGTGGCCTGGAAGGGAGGGAGATGCAATCACAGTGTTGTAAGTGTGTTATTTACTGTGTGTATAGATCAGGAGGTAGGAGATGGAAATGGCGTTGGAGCTCAGGGCTTCCCCAGACGAGCCTCTCCCAAGACCACCCTCTCTCCACAGTGAGTACACACACACACACACAATCTCCCTATTCCCAGTGAGCCCCTATTTACATTCCACACAGAACCCTCCACCCCTCTCTCTCCTTTCTTCCACTCCGCTGAGGTCTTTCTCCCACAAACACACACACTCTGGTCTCCCCCCTCTTTTTTCTCTCTCTCCCTCCCGCAGGCATTTCTGTCTCTGTTCTGTGAGTGTGTGATGGTGGGAAACATCCTTCAGCTCTGCGCTTGCTTTTATTTTTTACAAAGGTAGTTAGCCTTTTTCTCCATTTTGCTGACGACTAGCGTTTGGGGGGATGTCTGGGAAAGGGATGTGTATGTTTTTAAACTGCAGCTTTTACACTTTGTCGGATGGATAGTTGAACTCGAAAAGGTTGGTTACTTACTACTTTAAATATTAATGGATTTTTTTTTTACTGTATAAATAGCAAATAAATAGTAGACTATGTATAACTGAATAATGGAATCTTTTGGGGGGTATTTTAAGAAGTAAAAGGTTTCCTTCAGTTTGCTCCAAACATTTACTAGCTGAATTTTTCCAATAAGAACGTTTTATGTGTGTGTGTGTGCCAGAAGTCAGATGGAATGGTAAAAATGCTCTCCCTCCCTCTGATTTTCCTCCCTTTCTCTCTTTCACACATCAGTGTGTCTAAACTCACACAGAGTGATTTACTGCACCAGGGGTACCCACCACACACACACACACACACACACACACACACACACACACACATACATACACACATACACACACACTCTTTCTCTCCCATACACACTCTGCTCTCTCGCTCTCTCTCTCTTTCTATCTCTCTGTGTCTCTCTCTTTCTCTCTCTCTCTCTCTTTGTGTTTCTCTGTCTCTCATAACATATAGGTATAAGATATTTAGCTGGCAAACGGTAGTGAATTTCAAGTGTAACTTGATCACCTCTCTTGCGCTGCTCAACAGTGGATCGTCAGGTCAACTTCAGTTTGCTCTTTGTAAACAAGCATACTATGTGACTGGCTCAACCTTCAGGTTTCGGGGCTGTCGCTGGGCAATATGGACTTTCAGCTCCCTCCAAAGATGTTCTATTGGGTTCAGGTCTGGAGACTGGCTAGGCCACTCCAGGACCTTGAGATGCTTCTTACGGAGCCACTCCTTAGTTGCCCTGGCTGTGTGTTTCGGGTCGTTGTCATGCTGGAAGACCCAGCCACGACCCATCTTCAATGCTCTTACTGAGGGAAGGAGGTTGTTGGCCAAGATCTCGCGATACATGGCCCCATCCATCCTCCCCTCAATACGGTGCAGTTGTCCTGTCCCCTTTGCAGAAAAGCATCCCCAAAGAATGATGTTTCCACCTCCATGCTTCACGGTTGGGATGGTGTTCTTGGGGTTGTACTCATCCTTCTTCTTCCTCCAAACACGGCGAGTGGAGTTTAGACCAAAATGCTCTATTTTTGTCTCATCAGACCACATGACCTTCTCCCATCCCTCCTCTGGATCATCCAGATGGTCATTGGCAAACTTCAGATGGGCCTGGACATGCGCTGGCTTGAGCAGGGGGACCTTGCGTGCGCTGCAGGATTTTAATCCATGACGGCGTAGTGTGTTACTAATGGTTTTCTTTGAGACTGTGGTCCCAGCTCTCTTCAGGTCATTGACCAGGTCCTGCCGTGTAGTTCTGGGCTGATCCCTCACCTTCCTCATGATCATTGATGCCCCACGAGGTGAGATCTTGCATGGAGCCCCAGACCGAGGGTGATTGACCGTCATCTTGAACTTCTTCCATTTTCTAATAATTGCGCCAACAGTTGTTGCCTTCTCACCAAGCTGCTTGCCTATTGTGCTGTAGCCCATCCCAGCCTTGTGCAGGTCTACAATTGTATCCCTGATGTCCTTACACAGCTCTCTGGTCTTGGCCATTGTGGAGAGGTTGGAGTCTGTTTGATTGAGTGGGTGGACAGGTGTCTTTTATACAGGTAATGAGTTCAAACAGGTGCAGTTAATACAGGTAATGAGTGGAGAACAGGAGGGCTTCTTAAAGAAAAACTAACAGGTCTGTGAGAGCCGGAATTCTTACTGGTTGGTAGGTGATCAAATACTTATGTCATGCAATAAAAATGCAAATGAATTACTTAAAAATCATACAATGTGATTTTCTGGATTTTTGTTTTAGATTCCGTCTCTCACAGTTGAAGTGTACCTATGATAAAAATTACAGACCTCTACATGCTTTGTAAGTAGGAAAACCTGCAAAATCGGCAGTGTATCAAATACTTGTTCTCCCCACTGTATATGGTATACCGCCCAAGCACACCCTGTAACAACAAATTGATTTGGTTTGACATTTTCCATGTTTGGTATTTCATCTCCTTTTCTCTCCCCTCCCCTCCCTCTCTCCCTCCAAACCCCTCCCCTCTACCCCAAACCCCTCCCCCTTTCTTCCCTCCAAACCCTCCCCTCCCAACCCCCCCTCTCTCCTCCAACCCTCCTCTCTCCCTCCTAACCCTCCCCCTCCAAACCCTCCCCTCTTCCTTCCAAAACCCTCCCATCACCGCGCCCCTCCAAACCCCCCTCTCTCCCTCCAAACCCTCCCCTCTGCCCCGCAAAAACCCTCCCCTTCCGCCTCGCAAACCCTCCCGCCTCCCTCCAAACCCTCCCCTCTCTCCCTCCAAACCCCCCGTCTCCCCCCCAAACCCGCCCCCTCAACTCCTCCCTCCAAAACACCCCCTCTCCCCCCCAAAACCCTCCTCTATCTCCCCCAAACCCTCCCTCTCTCTCTCTTCTCTCTCTCTCTCTCACCCACCCCTCCCTCTCATCCTCAGTTCTCCTCTAGGTGGGTTACACATTCGGTATGACCCAGGGTTAGGGTTAAGGGGGCTAGGTTCAGGTCAGGTGGGTGGAGGGGACACCTCTATAGAACAGCTGCTGGAGAGACAGTGGAGTGACGGACAACAGTTCCTACTGCAGCAGGGAGCACAGGGAGATGGTGAGCTCACACACGTACATTACATTATTCATCAAATATAATCTACTCACCTACTATTGCATTGTTTGGATAATTAAATTGTATCGTTTTAATATGGTCTCCTCTCCCCCCTCTCTCTCATAGTGTTGGGGATATTGAAGTCCCTCCACCAGCTGCAGCAGGAGAACAGGCGTCTAGAGGACCAGATTAAAACTCTGACCATGAAGAAAGAACGACTGCAGCTCCTGTCAGCTCAGCTGTCCGTGCCTTTCACCCCTAGTACTGCTGCTGCCCAAGGTACACACACACACACACACACACACACACACACACCTATTACCGCCTCACCTCACCCTAACAAACACCCCATACACACTGTCACTCTCACTGTCTGACTGTGTGATGTTGTGTGTTTCAGATGTGAAGAGTGACTCCTCTTTACCTGCTCAGGTAAGGCAGCACCAGCACACAGGGACTGAACCCAGCTAGTACACTAGTTATGCTGTCGTTACAGAGAGCTGTTGGAGATATTGGTAAACAAAGCTCTCTCTCTCTCTCTCTCTCTATATATATAGATATATGTTCATGTATATATATGTATAGTATGTCTATATGAGTATATTATGGATATATTATATATATATATATAGGTGAGATATCTATAGAGATAGAGAGAGAGAAGAGATAGAGAGATAGAGATATATATGGTATAGAGAGTAGATATATAGTAGGTATAGCTCTATATATATCTTCTATAGATGCTAATATCTATGTATCATATCTATCTCTCTCATATCTCTTTCTATCTATCTATGTCTGATATATCTGATTGTCTATCTCTATCTATCTGTATCTCTTTATCTGTCTCTCTCTCTATCTATCTCTCTCTCTATCTCTCTCTCTCTCTCTCTCTCTCTCTCTCTCTCAGGATAGCGTGTTGTGTGGCCGCAGTAGTGGTAGCTCTACCTCTTCTCTCTCCACCCCCCACTCCGTCTCTCACAGCCCCCCCCAGCCGCCTCAGCTCAACGGGGTTGCCATGGGAACAATGCTGCTGGGAGGGGGGGCGGGGCTAGGGATGGGGGGGGTAGTGGGTGCTCTGAACAGAGTCATACAGACCACCTCCAGCCCTCACACATACACCTACACACACACCTCCACACCGGGCACCAGCGCCACTCTGCCCATCTCCAGCTCCATCAACAACAGGTACGTACACTACATCTGCCTGCCTGCCTGCCTGTCTGTCTGGCTACCTGGTAGTCTATGTCATGCTGGCTGGCTATCTGTCTGTCCTTCCATTGATTGACATGGCTGTCTCTCGCTCTGTCTTTAGTTTCAAGTTAATTTCCTTATCTTTTCTTCCTCTCTGCTTTCCTATTGGATTACAGCAGCTCAGCTACTGCTAAAAGCAGGTGAGAGAGTGTGTGTGTGTGTGCGTGTGTGTGTGTGTGTGTGTGTGTGTGTGTGTGTGTGTTGTAGTTTTCTAACTGTGTGTGTGTATGTCTTTGTGTGTTTTCAGGTTGGGTGCCTTTTCTGAGCAGCAGAGGCTCTTACTGCACCAGAACCAGCTACAACAGCTACTGTCTTCACAGCCGTCTGCGGTAAACACACACACACACACCAGGGCTCCAGACTGCCACCATTTTAGTCGCATTTTGCGACCCTTTGACTTGGCTGTGCGAGTTACATTTTTAATTGGTTGCATCAGTGCGAGCTGCACATTCTACATGGTCACCTCTCTCAAATTGCCCTATTTTTTTAGGAGGCTAAAACCATGATTTTGGTCAAACAGTAAAGTGCATTATCCTCATGATTCCTGTAATGAAAGTGTCTGTCTGCCTGCTCCTGTACCGGTTTCACTGGGGCCTGCTGCTGTGTTGATCGAACCACTCTCTCTCCTTCCCGGGGAATAAAATGCTCAGTGAGAAAACAACGTGTTCTGATTTGAATAATGTCTAAAAATCCTATTGCCGGCAAAACACAGCTATCTTGTTGTCACAGTTGGAGATTATCAGCTTTCTTTAGGTACATTTTTTATTTCTCAGCTCTCAATTTTGAGCTCAATAGCAACTATTTTACAACAAAGATATTTGATATGGCTTTGAGATACGGAGTGCGCAAAATGTGCATTGGCGGTTGGAATTGCAAAGTTTTTTGGGACATTAAGGCCTGATTGCATACAGAGCTCAGAGTTAAAATAACCCTGGTTGCAACGAAAAAAGAGCGGCATAAACTACTACACCAGCTGATCTGACGCTGTTACGGTGTCAAGCCGGCTAGATATTAGACAGCAGAAATGGTAATTGTCTGCCTTCACTACTGAAGAAACATCCTATCAGGAACAACTAAATCAAAATATGAATAAGAGAAATGGAAGAATGACGTATTACAACTGAAATAAAATGATTAGACTGTAAATGTAGCCTATTTCAATTACGCTGATTAAAAAGTTATTTTAGACCGATTTTTTATCAATTAGCCTACCACATTGTAAATGAAAGTGACGTGGATTGCATCAATGTGTGTGATAGACTATTTCAATGTCATCATAAAACTAAGCTCTTTGCATCTGTTTCTATGGATAATGACTTCCAAATAATAAGAAATTATTTTCCCTACCACATTTCTTTCCATTTCAGACATTGTTTCTTCAATAAAGTAGGCTACAATATGCCACAGTATATAGGCCTATTGGCCAAATAACTATTTCAAACAGTAGCCCTGTACGAAATTACAAATGTTCACTATTGGGTGTTATCACGTTGTTCTACAAATAAATACATCTCCACTATGCGCACAATATTAGAATACAATAACATTTGATTCAAAATACAACACAATCACTATTTTGTTACAAATGTAAAATGTGTAGCCTACAGTTCAGGAAGATATCATTTTCCCCTCTTGATAAGAAACGTCCATATTCGATTCAGACAAGTAAAATTATTAATGGATTAATGTATCCTACACCATGATCTTTCCATTCATAAAATGTGTAGGGTTACGGCCATAGTAGATTTGTCGTGGTAAACGAGGAAATGAAATACTTTATTTTAGTTGTACAGAATGACTGTCAAATAAATCGTCCTTAGCCAGTTAAAATTGCAAGTACAATTTTTTAAAATGATAATACCCACCACAGAGCAAAATCGTCTTGAAAAATGTTGGTTACAATCAGGACTAAAAGATACCACTGACATCCGTGTAAAGGTGCACACATACTAGGTTCAGTTTGCTCCTAGCAGAACTCATCTAGGCGAAGGGAACAACTGTGCCTTGCATACTCCCTCAAAAAAGACCTTCACTTGAAAAACGAGAAAAAAGTATTCAACCCTTTTGTTATGGCAAACCCAAATAAGTACAAATGTGCTTAGCAAGTCACAATATGTGCTTAACATGTCACAAAATGTGCTTCACAAGTTGCATATACTCACTCTATGTGCAATAATAGTGTTAAACATGCTTTTTAAATGAATACCCCATCGCTGTACCCCACACATACAATTATCTGCTAAGTCCCTCAGTCGAGCAGTGAATTTCAAGCACAGATTCAACCACAAAGACCAGGGAGGTTTTCCAATATTATGATGAAATTTAGTGACGTTTTTGTTCGTTTTGTTGTTCGGTATGGCTTTTTTCGACTGTTCGCTCACACAAATATGTTCTTGAGGCAAGTCGAAGTTCGGTAGCCGAAGTCTATGCCCCTTTGTCAGGGATTGGTCAACAGTACTACTCCTAGTAGGAGTGGGAACGATGGATGGGATCTTCAATTAAGTGTTTTCTCACTGGAGAAATACTGCACCAAACATCTTAGTTAGATGCAAAATTGCCCGACTAAGACCTCTGTAAAAATGTCAACATTAATTACAGATTTCTTGATTTATCTTTGATTAATTCAGACTATTTTGAGGAAGTTTATACAGACTATGTTGTTGCTATGGCTTCTCAAGAGGGACAAACAGTAATATTGCCACCTTTTCTCGTTTTCAAGCGAAGGTCCTTTTTAATGGGGCAATCTGCACTTGCTACATCCATTTTTAGACACTTAAATGAATGATATGTACCCACTGATTCTTGAAGAATATAATGTATAAATGCCACATGAGCTTAGTTCAACTGTCGTACTCCATCAGAACCCAAAATAGAAGCTTGTTTTACTCCAATATTTGTATATGTAAACAAACACTGTACAGCCTCATAACATGGTTAAAACGATAATTTTGATATCATGGATGGTCAGTCCTTGCATCCATAGCTCTGTCTATGAATTTGAGAGTGGTTACATTTCTCCAGCCCCATCCCTCAGCCGTTTACCAAATCAGTGACAAGGTGACGCTTTGTTATTGTTTGTACTGCAGATTGCAGCTTTAAGGGAGTATACGAGGCACAGACGTTCGCTTCACAAAGCTAGGAGCAAACCGACCCAAGTATGCGGGCGCCTTTATTTATCTGAGGTCACATTATTAAAATATCTCTCTCTCCCTCCCTCTCTCCAGGAACAGCATCAGGTGTTATTTTACCAGTTGATGCAGCAACAACAGGACCTCCACCAACTCCAGTCTCTCTCCTCCTCCTCCCAGCTTCCCTCCATCCCTCTCTCCTCCGCTCAGCTGCCCATCACCTCCCTTCTTTCCTCCTCCAACGCCCACGGCCAGGGAACCATCACCGCCAACCCCTTCCTGGCACTGCACACACACCCCGACACACACACACACCCCGACACACACACACACCCCGACACACACACACACGCCGCTGCACAGAAGTCCCGGCTGGCTGAGAAAGCTGTAGGAGTCACTGGACAGGAGAAGACCTGACCCACAAAACAGCTCTCTCTTTCCTTCTGTTGCTCATTCTCTCTATTCTCTATCTATCTCTCTCTTTCTCTCTCTTACTATCCATCTCTCTATCTCTCAGGGGTTTCCGCCATCATAGCATCTCTGATCAGTGCTGTGTGTTCAGCACACAAGCTAGTCCACATAGAACTACAATTACTACAAACTCCCAAAACTATCAGGACACTAACATAGCTGACTGACTCACAGCTCTGCTGGAGAGATGAGGTCTGGGAAGTATGACTCATTGGACAGTTTTAAGAGAGGGAGGAGTTGTGTACTGAACATGTAACATGTAACTGCTGGTACCTCTCTATCTGCGCGTATGGACCAGCATAAGACTTGACCAGAGACCACTCTAATGTAAGACTGACTGACTGACTGACCGCTCAGTCATGGAAGCCTTGCTATGACTGTCTTTCTGCTGTACCTACCTCACACACAAAAACCAGCCGATTAGGGCCCACAACCCTCCGCATCGGCCAATAGGAATCCACAACATTCATGACTGGCCAGTCAGGGTCCAATCCCCAAGTGCCTAAGGCTGAGGGGGCGGGGTTACTCATGCTCCTCTTCCTGTCTCTCCTGTCAGTCATCCATTCTCACCATATTACTGGCTGTCAAGCTGCATTGCCCAGGCAACAGATCAAGCAACACATTCTGAGAAGCTGGAAACCAGGAAATGTATTTAGCTGCTTTCACAAAATACAGAAGCCAACTTTATAAATGATCTCTTTTTATTTATTTATAAGTGCCAGCTGTTCTTTCAAGCATTTGTTTTATACTACTGTTTAAAGTTTTTCTCACTCAAATCTTGCTGGAAACATTTTTGATGGAAACAAATAGTTGTGTATTAAGATTGAACTACTGGTGAATGGAGGTGGTTGGTGGTGTACATAGCTGTTATTGTGGGGAGGGGTGTGGGTTCAATGGCACAGTTTTTACCTCGTTTGTGTAAATAAATATATATTTTTCATTGGCTTTGGGGTGTAAATAAGTGATTGTGATTGGGCGTGCTGGTGTGAAGGATAGCCAATGAAACCTCATTTTGTGTGTGTGAATCTTATGACCAGACAATAGGAGATGGTGACTGAACACAAAGTATTAATTTATTTTTATATGTGCAGGGACATTGTTTTGTTGTTTTTATAAGTTTCACACTGCTTATTTTTACTTGTTTTATTTTATACTCAACCTCTGGGCACCATGTTTCCATCCGTGTTCACTTTTGTTTGGATCAATTTTGTACAACTGAAAAATCAGAAAACATCCTCAAAAGTTTATATTTCAAGTCACCAAAATAAAGAAGCGTTCTGGATAGAGAAAGAGAGCTGACTTGGTGAAGGAGGAGGAGGACTATTACAGGAAGCCTGTGTCGTGATGTCGTCATGGTGTGGTTTGTAGTTAGTGGGACGACGTTATTGGAGTGGGAAGATCGTTAAAGCTTGATTAACAGCTCTGTTCAAGTGCTTTTTCTCATCTGCATTTTTATGCTTTGGTTGAATAAAGAACGGATCTACCTCCCTTAAACCTGCTGTCTAATAACGTGTTTCTCTTTGTTTACCTCCATCTCTGGATGGATGAAGGGATGACAAACACTGACTCTCTCATGCTCTCTCTCGTTTGCGGTCTTTTCTCTAGTGTTTAGCAGTTTCTGCATGCCCCTTTTATAGTGGTCCAGGTTCCCCCTGCCCCAGCAAACAGACACACACTGTGCACCCCTGTCCCTGATGACTTCCAGCTGCCTAGCAGTGTGTGTGTGTACCATTCTGCTACATCTGCTTCTGCTCGGGGAATTAAAAGCTCACTTTCCCCTCACATCTCAGCCCCCCAGCAACTCTTCAACCCTCACCCTCTATCAGCCCTGTCACTCAAGTCCAGGCTGTTTAAACATGCCCCCTCCCTACCTCCTTGTCCACCACTCATTCCCTCCTCCCCTGTCCTTTTTCATCACCCCTTTATCCTCTCCTCCCTCTCATTCAATCCATTCACAGCATTCCCATTCTGGGGTGGGAGCAGAGCCGTTGTCCATCATTGATCACCTCCCAGCAGCCACTGCTTCTCCCTGGGGGTGGGGTTAACAGCTGAGTGAGGACCCCCATGCTGCCCGATGAGGTGCCTGATCAAAAATCAAAACACTATGCCGCAGAACATCAGTAGTTTCACACACAATTCTCCATTGAGCATTCCTATTAGTCCAGGACTAGGCTCATCTGGAACCAGGAAACTGGCCCAAAATGTCCAGATGAAGAGCTCAAAAGAAGTCATAAGTAAAAATAATTAAACACGTATTTAGTAATTCATATAAACTTGTATTTAAATTAAACATGAATTTAGTCATTGAAATTAACATTTAACAGTTAGAATAACTACTGAGGAAAACCATTAGCAGCTGTAGTTGGGTTTAAATCATTATGGGAGACGTGAGAGGGTTAATCCTCTGTGTGTGTGTTGTGAGGGTGATGATCCAGGGAAAACTTGCTCCCAGCTGCCTGGCCAAGATTCCAGTTCAGAATGGAACCAGATCACTCTGACAGAGGTGTTTAGGGCCAGGAACAGAGAGACAGAGAATAGAGGGAGAGGGAAGCACTGAAGCGTTCGGGAGCAGCTGACGGGATTCCCATGGAATATCACCGGCATCAGATGTGTGTGTCTGTGTAGGCTACAGGTTCCTCTCCTGTAGGATAATGGTCCTGAGGAGAAGCAGCAGGATTATCCCTCATCCCTCTTCACACACAGAGCCTGTATTCTTCTGCTAATTGACACTCCTCTGTCCATCCCCCCATCCCTCTCCATACTCCTTCATAACTACTGCTCCTCCTCTCTGTTCTGTACTTCTTCCCCTCCAAACACACACAGGCTTTGGATGCCCTTTCTAGCTATTTACCTATACGACTGAGTGAAGGATTCAGTATAAATCTTAGTGTGTATATGTATGTGTGTGTGTGTGAGACAGTCCACACAGTTATATGAAGCTTCCATTTGACACTAATCTCTCTCTCCCTCAGTCTCCTCTCTCTCTTTTCCTAATCTTCATCTCTCTGTAGTCCACTCCTGAACTCCAGCAGGCCTCTTCCAGAGCAGGGGGATTTCCCAGCCACTCTGCCTGCCCAAGGGTCACAGACAGCGGAAAGAGAGAGGGGAGGAGGCCTCGATCGGTACTCTCTCATTCTTTAACGTCTGGAAACTAGAGACAAATAAATCGTAAGGGTCGGTGTGTGTAGCCCATTAAATAATGTCAATACTAATCATTTGAGAATTTGTAGAAATATATATTTAGTAAATTATCACTCACTCACTATTTGTTATTGAACAAATACATTTGACATTTTTACACAAAAAAATCTGATAATGTAGGCCTAAAATAAATTATAATAGGTCTATGGCAAATATCGTGAACACATATTATTTATACTTCTTTATTTGGCAAAGGGCAAATAAAAAAAACATGCATGGTAAATGCTGCATTTATATTAGGTACACTTCTAAATAGGATATTTTCATAGCATGCATTGCTTCAGAACTAGGCTACAAAAGATAGCTTTCTAAATGTACACTAAAGACGAAACAGGGTTTGAATAAATAAATACATTTCAGAACTAAATAAGGTTTATTTTAAGGCTGTGTGGACTGCTACAGCTTTCCGCAGTTTAGGCGTGTGTAGTAACAGCGTTTTCCAGCTGTCAGCTGGGTGGAGTTGATCTGTAAACCGAACGAGGTGCAGCAGACTGCGGTATTAGCCCAGATTCGTCACCGCTGACTTCGGCTCCTACATGTAAAACGACAAACGCTAGACCGTTAGTCAGCCAGTGTCTGAAATGTCTCACTGTTTAAAACAGCATTGCTCTATGAAGAAGGAAATTAGACTCTAAAAACAGTCTGTTGTTTTATTTCTGCTATTCCCCATCGCCATGGGGAAATACAAGCATCACAAATTGTATGCCTAGCGTAGGCTAAACGCCTCGATCACACTGACAGTGCTTTTACGCAAAATGGTACGCAGCATCATCTGGATGTGTCCAACAAAAGTTCAACATACACCTTCTGCTACCATTTCTGGCAAGCTGTCTATGGGTACAGTTTGACACATACGTTTGATACATCCAATGTATGCACCACACAGAACGCCCTCCAACTGCCTCTGCAACGCAATGCTGCAAGGCAAACACAGCTATCCATTGGAAATGAATGTACCTCTGGTATACCAAAATGCAATGACTATTGGCGTGAACAGTAGAACTGTAGAAACAGGTTAGGTCTATAGGCAACGCTACACACGCATCTATTTATAGCCCTTTTTATTTTTAATAATTGTAGGCCTATCTACCTTTACCCCGAGCACTCTCCGACGAGAATACATTAGGCTACTTTTATTTTTGAATGCTTTCACGGTTAGTTTTGACCTAGGCCTACTGCAGTCCCGAGGCATTTATTCTAGATGGAAAGCTCTGCTGTAACCTAGTCTGTCAACTGATGACGAACGTTTCCAAGAATTTAAAGGGATGGCTCAGCCAAATTAAACATTTACATATTTGTTTCCTTACCTTGAAAGCAGTCAATGGACGAGGTGAAACTGCAATCCACGCTTTGGTTTTGTTCAACTAGGGATTGCCACTTCTTCTAAAACTATTAGCATTTCCTAACTAAAAACCAATTCAAGTTAATGTCCCCCAGTTAGCATGCTTTTAAATTCCACCTGTGAGGATCAACATTCATTGATTAATAAATGGATTGCTCTTATCGGTGAATAAATAAAACATTTCACGTTATGTCACAGTAGGCTGGGTGAACGGGTCTGTTTAGCAGCTCAGGTCGGGGCTGTGTGTTTCTCGGTACAGGATCAGAATGAGAGATGGACCATCATTACCCAGACAGCCTAGGATGGTAGATATGAATGTCATGATGAATGTGATGGGATATAGATCGGAGACGTCATGGCTTGTGTGATCATCAGGTAAAAATAGACACGTCATTGGCTCATT